TATTTCGCAGGTCATCAAATAAAAGAAAGTTTCCTTAATCGGTGCCAATGCAAAGGTCGGTTAACTTATCTATAGGTATACGCTTTCCGTTATTTTTGTTGTCGTCTTTCGATGCGTTATTTAAATTTTGGCAGAAAAATTCCATAGTCTGTTTTCTTGCAAATAATTTATGTAATAATATAAATAGGCTTTTGAATTAACAACCGGCTTACCTAACGAGGAAGCCATATAATGCGGAATAATATTATTATTCGTTGTTCAGATTGCTAAATTTAGATTACTTTGGCTGATTCGAAACTGTTGAGATTACAGAGATGCAAATGTGTATTAACCACGGGTGTTCTTCTACGTAATTCGTCCAGATAACAATCAAATCATTATAATTTAAACGCGGATATTCTTATAAAAAGTAATTGCATGCGAAGAGTTAATTTCAGTGTTTACAGGTATAAACCGAAAATATAACATAATGAAGGAGATTCCATTTTAGATTACCGCGGCGCAGCTTCAAAGTTGTCGAAAAAAAAAAGTTTAATTAATTTATTATCAACTTGCCAACCCAGAAGCTGGTGGCAGATTTAATTTGCTATTTAACCAAAGCTGGAGAAGTATTTTTTCTTTCATTTTGAAGTGAAATGGAAGACTGACTAGGAGTCAAGAATTACAACTAAGTAAAATATGTTTTATCAGATTACATCTGAATTTACATAAAGAGGTGTATTATTATTTCTAGACGTGTGCAAAAGTCTCGCTCACTTTTGCTGCGGATTGTATCACCGTTTCTTGTCAGAAGAGCTTCTCCACACCATTACAATTCTTCGCTGGTTTTCCTAGTTTTAGAGACTATGGTACCTGTTCATAATTCAGTATATTATGTTTCTGAACCTTTATGGTGACTGACAGGATTTCGACATTACTTTCATAGAGGCATAGCAGACACGACTACTTTTATTTTCAGTTTTCAGGTTCGACCTGTTTAGCAGCTAAGTTCCTAGTGCAGTTCCTGTCACAGAAAAGAAGCAAATTGAATTATAGTTCTCCAAACTATATACCGTTTTTACGAAATAATCCGGTATTTAACTTTGGTACCTTTTTATAAAGGTCTACCTCGCTTGGGTTTCTGTTTGTAACCCTCGATAAATAGATTCGCAATTCCACAATGACACTCCAGAACCGTACTTCGGTACTTCGCACATACAAATGGAGAGATACCTCGAATATTATTATTACTTTTAAATCCTACTCTTAAACTACAACAGTCCGCAGGGCACAGTTCTTGTCGGCTAACATCTTAAATACAGCCCTGGCTTGTTGTACACGTGCTGAAAAGAATGGTCCCTTCCGGTTTACAACAGGCGCGTCTTAAACTGATTCCGAAGTTAAAACCATAACAGGCTTTAAAAACGGTATATATTTTGGAGAACTCTACAAATCCCTATATAAATAATATCAATGAACCTCGAAGGGACAAGTTGTAGGTGAATCGTTGCAAAAGTTGCAGATTTCTGAGGATCTCGTTCGTATGCTACTTGTAGCTAGGAGCTTCATACACTATCTTAGTATCCATCTTTACTGTGGCCATTATTAAGAGTAATGGCTACAAGAAAAACTTGAATCTCAACGGGAAGTTTCTTTTCTCTCTTTTGATTTAGTGTTAATCTTTTTGATATTGAAAACGTTCCAGTTACAAACTATCAAAAAATTAGAACTTCGAGGAACATTCGATGACGTTTAAATACATAGCAACCAGACCAAATCACATGTAGCTTATCGCTTGGCCGTAAAAATCTAAAAACTCATAAAGCGTAACAAATCGTCAACATAAATAAGAATTTATTGCGCTTTGGTAAACGAGGTTACCGATTTATCAATATTCATAAGCGCTTAAAACCGTTCATTTCTCTTCTCGTCTTCACTAACAATTGTAATATTGCAAGTTTGAATTTTTCACGCTGCGCTACTCAGGTTAATTGAAATATGATGCAAGTACTAAATTGCAATGAAAATTCGTACGTAAAAATGAAAGGTTTTTAGGTTATGGCTTCCCTGGGCGTTTTCCGTTATTATTTTAATTAATCAGATCTAAGATGGTTATTATATTTTGAAGAGCGCTATACAGGGTGTCTGAGGATAATCGCAAAGATTAATTTAAAATATGAGCATGCTTCAGTACTACTCTAGTTTGAGCAACTATACGTCCGATATTGGAAATATTCCATTTACAAACTAACCAAAATTATAACTACGAAAAACACTTTCAAAAGCTCCTAGGCAATTCAAAATTTGGAAAGATGTCAAAATCATTGTGGCAGAGATACGATAAAGAATCAAAGTAACCTATGTACATCCTACTCCCGGAAGAGTGTAATATACCAAATCCTATTTGTTTTAAACATTTAGACTATTGGTAATATTTGAAAAACTACTGCATGTTTCGTTAATTGGAAGGTTCATTTTACATGCTTTGTTTAATTTTGTTTGTCTAGTTTTCTGTCTACGGTTTCTTTTAATATAAATTTAACAGTCACTTTAGATAAATTGCAACTTTTGAAAAAATTAATTGTTATATTGAAATACAGGACGATTTCGATGCAAGGCGTTCTCAAAAAACATAATTCACAAAAAAAAAAAATTGTCTACGGTTTTTTTGTACTGTGCAGCTTAAAATTTAAGTTCATGGCACTCATGATCACTGACGTAAAAAGATAACACCTGTTTAGCGTGAAATTTATTTACAAGTAATTGCACCTTTTCTAAAATGGGGGGCTTGTCAAAAATTACTAACAACCAGGTATACCAGCCGTTAAAGGTCAGATAAAATTTACTGGCGTCTTCTTATTATATCATACCCGTCTTGCATAAATTCGAAGGCTATGAAATTCAAGAGTTTTCGAGCGATTCTTATCCTTTATGATCGATTATTTATTGCGCCAAGAGAAAAATATCAACGTTATTTCTTTAGACTAGAGTTACTCAGTTTTGTCGCCACTGCTACTACACACACAACATTAACGCCGTTTTTAATCGCCTTAAACAGGGTTAACATGGATTAAGTTGTCAGCTTATTAATGCATCAGCGGTTTATGGTAGTCTAAATTTTTGCAAGCTGATTAAAATATGTTTAAAGGTTGAATTTGATTCTCCTTCTTTGGTAAATGTTTATTTTGTGATTTTTTTACCTTGTTGTTTCACCAGAACTCAAAATAATGATATCATTTAATTTTTTTAATTAAAAAATATATTTCCGCCTATAATAGTATTCCGTTAAATGTTTTTCATTCCTTGAAATTAACACAAAAACCTTATTCGTTATGTTTAAAAAGTCTAAGTTTTTTTTTTATGCGAATAATTTTTTTTTACTAACGAAGACTTGTCAGTCGACAACTTTGAAGCTGACGAAGACTTTTCTATACACTGCGCATCTTTTTAAAATTCACCGGTGGCGTACTATATATAAACAGTATTTTTTTTTCCAAATTTAACCTGGGCTTTTAAGCCTATTGAAAATATTGTTTTTACAAAATGGTCCTTTTAAATTTTCCTATAAATTAGAACAAATTAGGTTCAAAAAATATTTGTCATTATCACTTAGATTACTTGCTTCCGTTTAGGTTTTTGTAAAAAAGGCAAAAACAATTTAGAAATACACCATTGTAAAGGAATTTCCTGATTCGTTCTATCTGATGAGGTTTATTAAAGTTATTTAAGTATAAGTAAATAAAAACAAATTTTCACCCGTATATTTTAAAATTAATACCAAATCCTTTCTATTATCATAAAAAGTTATGTAAAAAGTTTTATACGAAACGTACGTAATACTTAGCTAGATGTTTTCTTTAAGCTTAACGGTTATTTGTTTCATCGTTAATAGCGGTTTTTAAAGAAACTCTTAAGTTACAATTGATATTTCGTTGCATATATTAATATCATATATGTATTGGCGGAAGATAGTGCCTATCCTGATACATATGGAGCGTAAACAAATTTTTGTAGTGATATTAACGTGGTTGATATTAAGAACAAACACAGAACAATTTAAATAGCTAAGATAAGGGAACATTTCTGCGTTTATCAGTTGTCCAATTTGGGTTTATTGGATTGTTAACTATTTGAGCCGTTTTTATCAGACTGCCAACAGTATCAACACTCACGAAGTAGTTGTTTTCTTAATAGTGATAATTTTTTTTAATTAAAAAATAACTAGTATTTCCAAAAGTACGGAGTTATTTTTTATTTAACATTTAAAAATATTAGTCTAAGTCAATTAGAAAAAGAGAAGTGTATTTTATTTTCGCCCCACATTCTAAAATTTTTTCGATGTACGCTTCCTATTTTGCACAATCTCTGTGGTATATTTTAGATAACAAATGTAGTTTTTGGGACATAAAAAAAACGCGTACAAAAATTCAGAAAATTATTATTAGTATTATTAATTTTTATCAATTGCAATTGGTTTCACAAGTATTAGCTACTTCAAAATAAATATCAGATGCCTTCTTATCAGTGAGACTATGATAAAACTCCAATCTCAAGAATGTTCGCGTTACTTAGATATTTTGACTAAGAAGGAAAAAAGAAAGTAAAGTTTGTTTATAGATATGTAATTTGTCTTTCGCCATTTGTAATTGTCATTTTTTGCTATTAATTTAAAAAATATATAAAAATATATGCACAAGGGTTTATTAAGTTTTAAGAACTTCGTCGTAGAACGAGAAAATTAGGAAAGGTAATTATAAACAGGACATCCATTTTTATCATCCTTAAGTTCGGAAATAGTTTCACGCAAACAATCTGTCTTTAACGGGTCGTTAAACTGGTCATTTCGACTCACCCTGTAGAACGAAAACTAAAGTGCGCAGAAAGTTTTAGTAAAAGAAAATCCCCTGCCCCTTTTCATAATTGATCAATTTCATCTTCTTACTTCCGTATAATTAATTTTTTTAAAATTGGATTTTTCGACATCTTTTTGCTTCTTCCCAATGAAGGGAAGGGTCACTCACCGCGACAAAAATACTCGAACTGAACATGATGAGGGAAAAATTCCAAAATTGCAAAATCGAGTCGATACCACTTGTTCGATCCAAATTTAATCACGTCAACCGCTCGTCAATTGTTCTTCGTCAAACCGCGCGCGGATAACCAGTGAAGCGATCGCGTGCGCAACATCGAACGTCGGATTTCAAACTAACCGCGATCTGCACAGGCTAACTCGATTATCATTCCGCGATGTTCGTCTGTTTGACGGTCCGCTGGACGCGGCTGACAAAAAAAAAAGCACCTCGAGGGGAATAAGAACTCAGCTTGAAGCAACCAGCATTCGTCCTCTAGCGAATGACGAAAACACCAGTCGCTTTGCATGTTGCTGATCGGAAGCTTGGTGGGTGAAGTTGTACAAGATGATCGTAACTGGAGGTTTTAACAGGAAAATCCTGCTTCTAAACTAAATAAAGCAAAGTCGACTTGCATATCCGGTTAACTTGGAGATAACTAGAATAAATTAGTGGACATACTTGAACCCGGGAGTTCTTGGCGGAAGACGCAGGCGATCGGGGAAGAGGAGGAGAAGGATTAATAGAAAGAGTGTGCACTAACGACTTTTTTATAAATCGAAAGATCTTCATTTTTTTAAAATCAAACTAACTTCATGACTAATGATATAACAAAAAATGTACAACTGGCCGAGCAGGTTTAAAAATTTTATATTTAACCGACGTTGTTAGCTGCGGCGGTGATTAGTTTCGAACATTCAAAAAGAAAATTGAGTACAACACTCAATTAGTAAAAGGTGCATCAATAATGTTTTCATCCGCAAAAAAATTTTGCAAATAAAAATCTTATCGGCAATTAAAAATCATCGAAAATTAAAAAGATCGTGCGCTTTTTAATTTTCACCTCGCCTGGTAACATATATCCCATTATATACGATATATATCATTCAATATTTCCCAAATATCGTGCTCATGTCCTGTAAATTAATTTTGATTCCTCTAGTTTAGAAATAGGTATTTATTTTTCCAACCCTTCAATTATAACGTGATCAAGCTTCAAGAGTGATTGAGAGATTTTAATTATGAAAAGTACACGTATGTACGAAAATAGTTTGATTTTTTTGATACAGGGTGTTAAATCTACACAAAAATGACGAATCAAAAATCGAGGTTTTTTCTTTGAATTTCTGAACCTCTAAAATATCTCATTAACTATTGTCGTAGTAACCCTTTTAAGTTTTAAAGTAAAAAAGTGGAGGTATACCTATTTATTTTTTAAAATTTGGAACTGTTTTGAAATGACTCAAGATCATATAAATCTAAAACACCTCAATTTTTCTATGGCAAACAGTTTTTGAGATAACTGGCACTTTTCTCTATTGATTTCCTGAGCTAACTTTGGTTTAATTAGATTAATATTTGCCTTATCTACAATAAAACGTCTGATCGATATAATGTTCATTAACATCTTTATTTCATATTAACATTTCTACTTCTACTACAAATTATGTTTTAATTATTTTTATAACATAATATGATTCATAAAAGAATCCAGCAGTAGTTACAATTTAAATGAGTATAACAAATATGTATTAATTAAACATAATAAATATAACAATAGTGATGAACGAAAAAAACATAAAAAATATAAAAAGTTTAACGATCAAAATGCCTACAACCGATTTTGCGAACTCCGGTCTCTATCAAAACAATTGATAAAAATTATTTTAATTAATTACATTGATAATATTGAGTTCGAAATTTTACAAAACTCCAAGAAGTTTTGGAAATTTATTGTCAATAAAAGAAATAATACAGTAGTATACAACGGCAGAACAGCTACTGGAAGCAGGGAAGTCGGTAACTTGTTCGCTGATTATTTTCGTAGCGTTAATGTTCAGCCCAATTCTATAAATAACAACAGTAACAATGGTCACAATGATTCTGATATTATCGAGCGTATTAAAAACAAGGACATTCTTCAAATAATTAAAGACTTGAATACAAATAAATTAGCGGGTCCTGACGGTATCCCCCCGATATTTATAAAAAAATGTGCTTCTAACCTTGTCCAACCTCCTAAATATTATTTATAACCTATCCCTTAGTACAGACATTTTTCCGAAGTAACTCCAATCCTTAAGAGTGGATCAAAAAATAATGTTCAAAATTATAGGCCAATAAGTAAATTATGTGTGTTTGGTAAAATGTTGGGAAAAATAATTTACAATCGTATACTACCTACCGTTAAAAATATTATCATTGAGGAGCAGCACGGTTTTTTCCCGAGACGTTCTTTGGAGACAAACTTGCTGTGCTTTTCCGATTACATATCCAACCATATAGACAGCCAATTTCAAATCGATGCTGTGTACACCGACTTCAGCAAGGCTTTTGACACAATTAACCACCAACAGTTGTCAACGAGACTTACTGGGGTGGGACCACTTGTGAAGTGGTCACAATCATATATTTCTGAGAAAGAGAGTGCTGTGTCGATTACTGGACATGTGTCAGACCCGTTTCATGCAACGTCTGGAGTCCCTCAGGGTAGTCACCTGGGCCCACTATTTTTTATTATATATATCAACAATATAAGAAACTGTTTTAAATACTGCAATATACTGCTTTATGCAGACGATCTGAAATTATTTCGTACCGTAGCGATTCACAGGGACTGCCTTAAAATGCAGCAGGATCTCATCAGGCTTGAAAGATACTGAGTGACAATCAGCTTTTTCTAGATCCTGCAAAATGTCACAGTATTTCGTTCACCAAAAATGCGAACCAAATAGATTTTACTTATGGAATAAATAACAATGACCTGGTAAGAGTGAACGAAGTAAGGGATCTGGGAGTTACACTTGACACAAAGTGGTCATTCAAACACAATAAAGAAAGAATAATAAATGATTCTAATAGAATGGTTGGTCTTATTAATAGAAATTCCCGGGACTTCAATGATCCCAGAACGCTTATTTCCTTATATTATGCTTTTATTCAAAGTAGGATTTCTTTCGCATCTGCTATCTGGAATCCACGCTACGCAGTTCATATCAACAGAATCGAGAACATTCAAAATAAATTCTTAAAATTTCTCGCTCTTAAGACCCACACTCGTATAGAACAAAGAGATTATCGCCTAATGAAAAATCGGTTCAAAATACTAAGTTTGGAAGATAAACGGACTGTGGCAGACTTGTGTATGCTTTACAAAATAACAAACTCACAAATTGATTCTCCATATCTTTTGTCGAAACTTAACTTTAGAATTCCCGCTCGAGATTTAAGATACGCTAATCTCTTTGAAATCCCATATAGTAGAACCAACACAGGGCAGCATTCCCCTTTGCTAAGAATGGAAAGTTCGTATAATACACTTAACTCGAATTTTAACCTCGACATGTCTTCAATGTCTCAGATGAAGTTTAAACGATATTTCAAATACTCCATTATTAGGACTTATAGTGTAACTTAGCAGTGTATGAGTGTTAGATATCTTCCTCTTTTGGTATAATGTTCTACATCCGACTTATGTTTGTTTTTTATAAATTCACCTATTTGAACTAACATTGTGGTTGCTATTTTTGTTGGTACTAAGTACTGTAAGCGACCCAAACCTGTAATAAATAAATAAATAAACGAAATTAAACTATCAATGGAGGCACCCCGAACTAGATTTCGAATTTTACTTTACAATTATGAATCGCATTCCAAATTAATGTAGTTGTAAAATTTGGAAACCCTTTTGTACTTTCTCTATAAAATGCATTTGTTATTAAAATGTTCATAATAAAATAATTGGACTCAACCAACTTAAGATTTGGTATTTCCGCAGATACATTCCCAGTCCGATAAGAGGAAAAGCTATCCTACCTTTCTTACCATACCATACTATATTTCTTACAACTCAATTCAAAAACTTATAGTTCTTCTTTGTAGCATAGTGAGTTGACATGAAAATAAATAATATTGTCCATTCATTTTAGGACAAGGACAAAAAAGGTCACTCAACCGATATTCCATAAAATACTAACTAGTACTTACGTACATTGATCGATGAAATTAACTGTCAACCAGGTCAATTGTTGGTTTAAGAACTTTCAAAACAATTAGAAATTTTGGTTGAAATTGGGTCCAAAATTATTTGTCTGTGTTAGAAACTTTACATATTTTTTCGGAACATTATTCTTAGAAGCACATTTGAGAAAACGGATATATATTGGACAGCTGAATTGATTTCTTATTTTTCCTTAGGAATACGTGATATCGAGGCACACCTGCAGTCATTTTTTGTAACTCCTGAGGACCAATTTTACAAGCAAAAGACAGTACAATGGCGCGGAAAACGTTTTATAGCTGACGTTTATCTTTTGTTTATCTCTTTCCGTTAAAGTTGAAACAAGGCTCCCGACTTATTGAAGTCGATTTTTATATGATAAACCAGATAAGAAATATGTGAGAAACTTTAGTCAGAGTTAAATGCAAACAATATTAAGTATTAGAAGTAAACCGGAGATGCAATATTTTACAATACGCCATTCTCATATACGAAAGTTCTTTAAGAATTCTCACTTGAAACTTCTGTTCCTTATATGTAAAATTTATTTAGATACACGATTTGTTTAACTTTAAAGTTGCGCACATATAATATGCGAAAGATTAGAGATGTGGTTAAAAGAAATTGTTTTTACACTATCGTAATCGCTACACGCATTCAAATCTTTTAATTAATTTGTTGGTGTACTAAAGTTGAAATTTGAAAGTATTTCAAATGATATTTGTAACGATTTAAGCCACTTTCAAAATAGAAATTCTATTTTCAACTTATAAACACTGGGAAATTGTCAATAAGGAAAATAATTTATTTACTCCAAAGAAAATACAACAGCAACTCGCTATTGGCCGTCAATAATATTTCCAAATTTAAATGAAAATGATAACATAGACGTAAAATGGTTTGGATGCAAAAAGAAACGACCTCATTCAATCCCTAATGTCCCAATGTTCAAACAAGTGAGGGTCAATTGTAATATTGCTCGATGTGCTGGGTAAATATGACTTATTTCAATAATTTTTTTTCCAACAGGATTGAGCGTTTGAAGAACAGAGCTGGCTATTGTTTTTGTTATTGAAAAAATAAACCCACTTAAATAATTTATATATTGACTAATATATTATTTAAACATTAATGTTTTCCTTGGAATGAAACAT